ATAAGGAAAAAGTAAAAAATTAAAATTGAACTGAAGAAGGGAAGAAAAATATCAGAAAAATATCCGAATAATGTTCGAACAAATATTATTAATTTTAATTATCTATGACTATGCATATTTATTATGACATAATTATTTATGACTATGCATCATTCGAATAATTATTCAAATAAAATTTCTACTGTATTTATTATTTATCTTATTGTTTTATCTTAAATACTATTATTTGAATAACAATATATTTAATGGAAGAATTATATATTTCAATGTTTATTTTATAAACAGATATTTTCTATTTCACTGCGAAAACATATTTTTCATAAAATAAATTTTTTCTACGTGGAATTTCTAATCCCTAAAAATTATTTTATTTCTTGACTCGATGAAATGTTTATTCTTATATATTTTACTTTATTTTATTTATTATCTAATTGCATTTATAAAAATATAAATTTGCATAAACATCTACAGTTCGTTCATTGGCCAATATAAATAACGTATCATTAATCGCTCAACTCATTAACCCTAGATATCCTTTTAAAAATCATTAACACTTTTCCAACGTGAAATTTACAATGTTGTTTCATTTGATCATAATAATTGGATCTATTTCATACTCATCGATATCTTGCACGAAATAATATTTATTACACGATAAGAAACTAACGTAGCAATAAAAATATATTTCTTACTTTTATCGAAATTTTTTATTTTAAGAAAATTAATTTGAAAGAAAAAGAAAGAAAAAAAAATTAATGATTAAATTTCAACGAATTTATTATATATACAAACGATTCGATATCGTAATTCATTCGAATGGCAATATCCGGAGCTGGATCTCCGCTCGAAACGAGCGTCACGAGGGTTGTTCCGCTTCCGCGAGGCCTTTTTTTACTCGCATCAATCGGGAAATAAAGATCGTCACTTCGGATAAACTCAATGAAACCTTAAAGCAGAGTTCCCAACAGGCTCCAAGTGGATCGCGATAATTAAATTGTGAGTCTGCCTTAATTCCACGGAAATAAATCTGCGGAAGAGCATTGGTCACGCATCGCGCGAATTAAGAACTTTAAATCCGCGAATGTAGAGGCAACTGAGAAAACTATTCAGGTGAATCTTTTCTTTTCACGATGCACTAATATATTTTTCTTGGCTTGCTTTCTTTTCTTTTAAAAAACAGTTAATAATATTTTTTCTTTCATCACTGTTCGAATTTATTGTTCACAAAATTTGGAAAGCTGCAATATTTTGTTCTCTGATTAGATCACTTTAATAAAAAATTCTAGTTGCCATAAATAAAAATGAAATTGATATTAAAAGATATCAATTTTCATTGTAGTACCTGTAATATAAAATTAAATTTATAATCATATTTATTCTGATAATATAATTTTTAAATTCTAAATTTAAAACATAATTTATAGATCTATATTCTAACTTATTTTTAATTATTGCATATTAAATTATTGTTATTGTAATGTATATAAAAATTATAAAAAATTCCAATAATATCTATAATTCATTTGTTCAATATCAATAATTGATAACAATCTAACTAATTGATAATAATCTAATAACTTATATAATCGATAAGAATGTTTTAATTTTACAAGAAATAAACAAATGAAATATAAATGAAAAAAAATAATTAGCGATTATCAAAGGGTAAAAATTAATAAAAGTCCAATGAAAATCCAATAAATCGCGCTTTTAAAAAATCATTATGAACAAGTCTATTAAAAAACCAAATGGATTTTACTTTGGCAATATTCTTTAAAGAACTGAAGTTAATCGAACATTGACGTATTATTTTTATTGCTATACATCGAAGAAAAATATTATATATATATAAACAAATTTTTCTCCAAAGAAATCTTTAAAATATAATTTAAAAAAAAAAAAATAATTAAAAATTACCTTTAAGAGCACGATACGAAAAAAAAATCTCTACTAAGATTCCTCGAGAAAATTACCGCGATGAGAAAAAAAGGGGGAGAATAGAAAGAAAAAGAAACACAAAAGGTTTGCTGACATCGCGAAGAATTAAAAAGCGTCGTAAAATCGTCGACGTGAAACAAGAACGAATTTTCTAGTGTCCCGGACACAAGCGAACTTAGCCAAACGCAGAAACTTAATAAAGTCTCGTGCACAGTGGTAGCAGATGGGTTTCCCTATTTAACCTCTTACAGCCTGCCTATTGATTTTCTCCGGTCCTATTGTTTTGGCACGTCGCGCATTTAACGAAACGTAAGAGACACGAGAGGAAGAGGGAAGAGCACTGGAAAGAGCACTAGCACTAACACAGCATTTTCTAAAATCTGTTCGATGTATTGTAATTTGCAAAATACGAAACAAAAGCACGTATAAAAGTTAACGCAGAAAGGATACGAGCTGTCAATTTGTCGCGATGTTGTGAATCATCTCTATTTCGGGAGACACCCGTTGGGTGGTCCTACTCCCTTCGTTTTTGAGGTTAGCTCGCCCGTAATGCGTACCGACTCTCAGACGTATACGGTCATGCACGGTCGAAAGATTACATACAGGCCTGAACGATTAATAAAATAACACAAGAGTTCGCGTTTTATCGGCGAGAAAATGAACAGGAACGATCGGAAAAGTCTAAACGAGGGCAGCACGCCCATCTGTCGGAAGTCACGGAAAAATCAATAGGAACCGGCGGCATCACCACCAGCCGCCGGTTTCGAGATATTATCGGTTCATTGGTAGATTCTACTCACCGTGAAAAATATCCATAGATAGAAAAGAAGCCCTGTTTCGTTGCACAAAATCAATTTGTCACTTCGGCCACAACCACACGTCCGACAACACTCTTGCGACTCCCGGCCGTTTCAGTTTCGTGTTCCTCTCGTTCGTTGTGTCAGTGACGGCTCGAGTCACGAAAAAATTAAGGTAGCTTGAGTACCCAGAAACGGCTCCGAAAAATGTTTTTTTCTTTCTAATTTTTTTTTTATTGATTTTCGAATACAAAATATTTTCTTTCAATTATTGTAATATTTCAATATAAAATTAACAAAGTTCCGATACTCCGAATTATAATGATAATTGTGATATTGAAAATTAATGTTTTATATTTATTATCGTAATATTAATCGAAATGAATTAAAATTTAAATTGTGTTAAAAATTCAATTATAAACACAATAATGAATTAAATGATAAAATAAAATATAAAATAAAATGTATTACCATGATAAAGTATATTATTTTTAAAATTTTTATTTTATCAATAATTTGATATAAATATAATAAAGTTTATCAATGAAATATTTTGAAATGCAATTATATATAAATTATATTAATGTAAAATATCTTTAAATGCAGCTATATATAAATTCGATAATTAATAAAAACTTATCTTTAAATAATTATATAATAACATCATTCTTAATTACTTTCGATATGTAAATCCACTCCATAAAAATTTTATTTTACAAAATATTAATATTACTATATACATATATATATGAATATAATGAAAACTTCTTTGACTTTCGTTAAAAATATTATATTTAAATTTTGTATTTCTGCAGTTCAATTACAAAGTAATAAAATTTAAATAAATTCGATAAATATCCAGAAAGCGTATCACAATTATCAATAAATAATTTCCAAGTAACAATAGATATATCGAATTACGCGAATATTTCCGATTTGGAAAACTTTCTACCAGTCTAATAATCGATAATGATATCGCGCGGGCCTCGACACGCTGCATACTTCCCTGTCTTCATGCAAATAACTAATCCAAATAAACAGACTTTCCTCTAAAAATAAAAAAGATCCAAACTCACGCGCGTGACAAGAAAACACAACGAAGGGCCTTTGTACGTGTCTCACTTCCCTAAAGGGTTTTGACGGTATTAAGGAAAGCGATTGAAAAAAATCCATCGTCGCGATTGAAAATTATACCGAGAATTCTGGAAAAAATTGGAAAAAAATCGTGGAAATTCAGCGAAACGTTTTAAAAGGTTCGTTAAAGTCGTCTATTGGAAAACTTCGAAATAAATCCAGCGTTGGATACAGAATCGAGACCGCACCAAATTTGGTCATGCCAGTCTCCATTCAGAAGCGTGTATTTCGTAGTATGCAATGATGTAACGCGCTACTCCGTGTATCGTATTCCGTGGAAATCACATTTAAAAAAAAATTCATCATAGACATATATAAACAGAAGTTAATCTCTGTTCTTCTTTTTCCTTTTCTTTTTTTCTTATTCCATTTCCTTCCAACAGCATGTAATTTTAACTTGTTGAATAACAGAGTGAGAACGGAGCCTAGAAATATTAGTTTTCTTAGAGTATGAGTACATCGATGACATCACGTTTTTTTGTTATCGTGTATTATTCACGTAATTGCAATTTGCATAGTTTTAAAATGTGTTCATTGTCGCCCAACATGTTTCGTACATTAGTAAATGTGAAAAATTTTATTAAAAATTATTTGAAAATTATCATCAAATTATAATGTAAATAATTTTAAAAAATAATTTTTGATAGTTCGTTAAGAATTATTACTTATACATACGATACGTTTTATAAATATGTAAAAATATTGATATAAAATAAAATCTAAACTTACTTTCTCTCTCAAAAATTAAAAAAAAAAAAAATCCCTCGAAAAATCACCACTCTAATCAATCCGTATCCAATCCACGAACTTCAGCTTGATATTGCACAAAAAGCATCGCACTTACCGAACGCACTCGACGAATATAAATCTTCACGCTTCATTTTAAATCTACCGTAAAACCTCTAAAACGCACCACTCACTATTAAGTACTATGTACCACTTCGACTGCCATTCGCCAGTTCATTATCCGTTCAAAATAAACGTCCAAAAGAGCTTCATACGCGCACTTTCTCCATACAACTTCATAAGAATAACGAAACAAGGAACAAGAAACAATTCTTCTCTTTGCAAGATCGTTATATAACCACGGGATCACATAGAGAATAGAGGGAAGAGGTTATACGCGTGAAATGGTGACACACATTCGGCCTTCCGTTATTTATCTACGTTCGAAGGAAGTGGCCGCCGATTTCCTCCCGTTCGACGTGGCGAGCAACGTCCACGATCGACGTCCACGAGATCATTGACGAATAAAATGGACGATTAACAGCCTGTTGCTTCTTCTAATCGCGTGGGCAGCGTAAACTCACGCGCGTTCCTCGCATTCCTCACGCGTCACAAGCCGGACTCGATCGTTGTTCGCTTACGTGGGCGACCTTTTTCCACCTTGTCGCCGAACAGAATGCACCTGTGCATAGACCTGTCGTGGGCGTGGGCGATGCTCGATATACCGGACGAACGTGGGCACGATCTGCATTTCAAATGGCCTAACGCGCGAGTGTCGAGATTTTTAGGATCAGGCTTCTCGAATCGAGAAAAGTATGTTTGTTGATCGTTATAGATACCAAGTTTTACGCAATTTTCGTATCTGGCCTATTTGATAATGATATCACGCGTTTAGAAGGAGGATATTCAATGGCGCAGCTATGATTTCGTTTAAAAGAAGTAAATAGATTAAAGGAGATTAATTTTATGATAATTGTTTTACAGATCTTTTTACAGATATCGATATTTTCGAACATTGATCGAAAGTAAGGTTAGAATCAATCGTCTTGAATCTTTTTTTAATGCTTTTTCATGTTTCTTCTAGTATCTTGTATAACATGTAAACACGAAATTTAGAACTGCATGAGAATAAAAGAAACATTAACGTAGTTAATAATACGCAAGGTCGTAGTATTTCGTTGCCAAGATCTTAATAATATCTACTTTATCATTGTAACAGTGTTACAATTTTAACGAGCAGTATTCTATGTCATAATGTATTATTTCTAAAATTATTGTCATTTATCTCGTAAAATTTTATAATTTCGACTGTCTTATAAATTTCAAATAAATTGTGAGTAAAAACAAAAAAACTAATAAATCGCTTTATTATTTCTATAACAAATCGTTATTTCGATGCGACGTATATTTACAGAAAGTCGCCGTGATACGTTTTAAGATCGTTTCTCAAGGATTTTTTAAGAAACGAGGGCAAACCAACATTGATTCAAAAGTGGATAACAAGAGATAAATCTTGCGCTTCCAACAAAGTCGAAGAGAAAAGTTTCAGCTGGACAACTGCCAGAAGAGCGTTTGTAATTCAATTTTCATTCATCTCGGCTTTTTTACCGTATGAGGAAAAAGCTTTTTCTCCTGCGAGAAACGTTAGCCTTGGCCTGCCTTATCATCCGTTTCCTGCGCGGCCTCCAAGATGGAGCAAGCACCGCTTACGTCGAATTAGGCGATAATATTTTTATTTTTTAAAGATATTTCAATATATTTAAGATATTCTTTTTTTTTAATAAATAAATATATATAAAAATATTTTCTGAAATAAATAATTCTGTTCAAATATTCACATTATATATAATTATATAACTATTAAATCAATTTCTTTAATTTTTTAATAAACTATTTCAATTTTCTTTCCAATAATTATTGTAAATTCAAATATTATTTATATCAATATACAAAAAACAATTAATTCCTGTTTTTATTAAGAAATCACACTTAAAAAAAAACTTCTTAACACTCTGAGAACATTACTATAAATATTATAATAAAAATTGAAATTAAAATAATACAATAAACTGATAATAAAAGTTGCTAGAAGAGAATACTAATCCTTCCATCTTAACATATTAACAATATTATCTACTTTTTAAAGTAGATAAAACACATAAAATCCACTTTTATGGATCTTGATCTTAACCTTAATCTTTCAAATTAATCCTACAGAATATTGCTACACAATTAAAAATCATCCATTATCTCAATCCCTATAGCAAACAACGGAAGCAAAAGGCATCCATCTCTGACATCTTATCACGATTAACATCTCTTGGATGGGCGAACAAACGAATCGATTGATCATTTGTCAGTCGATCTCGTGCCAACTCATTTTTGGACCAAACCATGAGATACCAACTTCTCCGCCCTTGAACGGTAATAAATATAAGAGCAACTCCCCCC